AAATAAAACAAGGGCTTTTTTAGAGAATTGTATTTGTTTTCATAAGGTTAAAACTAATAGTTTGTAACATTTAAGAAAATTGATATGTACGTACATAACGTACATAATGTACGTATAATACTTGCGTACATACAAATAAATACTCTTTTTAGGGTTGGATTCTAGAGAATACAAATACGCAGTGGTAGATATTAATTACATTAGCGTTAATGTTGGATTAAAAATTAACCAATCAATAATCATGCTATTGCATTTCGCGCATGCATTCGAAAATATGATACTGATAGTTGCTGATATATATAATGACCCAGGTTAATATTATAGCAATAACGAGAAAAAATAAACTTAAACCTGAAAAAAACTTTGTCTTTCCTTTAACTAAAATCCTCTCGTCTTGTTGATATGGCTTTGTCACGAAAAATTACACGACTTTTCTCAAAATTACAGGTAACATATAGTAACGATAATCACATTGTTTTTTGTAGCATGGCACGTGCTTTGCGTTAACTAAAAACAATATTTTTTTTTAACGTTAAGAAACAAAAACCAGAATCTCAAAAGTTGAGTATTGATACTTCAATAAGTTCAAATGACTCGAGTGACTTTAGTGAACGATCATATTATATAAAAACACCTAATCGTACACCAACACCAACACCTACTTATACACTAACATCTAATTATACACTAACACCTAATAATACACCAACATTTAATCATACACCACGATCTTTATCAAGACCCGATATTAAATTTATAATTCCACCAGAAATTTTCATAGAAATATGTTTACATCTTGCACCACAAGATCTTTATTCACTCTCGACAGTATGCAAATATTTTCGAAATATCTTATGGTCAACTTCAACTGCTACACAATCCATTTGGGAAAGATCGAGAATCAAAAATTCAAGTTATTTAAAATTACCACCACCATTTGATATGTCAGAACAAGAATATATTTGGTTAACTTTATTACCAAAAAAATGTCAATTTTGTTCCAAACCTTATAAACACTATTTATACAATATTTGGCCTTCTAGAATTGTTGCTTGCGAATCATGTTTTAGAAAAAATACTATTCAAACCATGTAAGTCTTGGGTTTGTATAGTTTAATTTATTTTTATTTTATTTTATTTTATTTTTTTTCTTCTTATATTGGGTTCACTTTTTTAAAAAAATTTTCAGAAGAGACGAACGACCAAGATGTATTCCTCGAGAAATCTTTAGCTGTATTCCTCATACAAGATTTTTTTATTATGAAATCTTTGTAATTTATTGGATTCAAGATATAGAACATGCAAAAGAGGAATATAATTCATTAGATAAAAGTCAAAGAGAAGAATGGATTAAAGAACGAAGAGAACAGGTTAATAGAGCTAAAGAAATATTATCTTTATATTTTCAACAAGACTATCAGGAGGTATATAAATGTGGCGTTTTTAATCCTCGTCGTATCGGTAGTAATAACGAACTTCGAAAAAAATTTTAAAAAAAAAATCATTGAATATCATTCAGTGATAGTTTTCTTTTTGTTTTAACCGTCCAAATTAACTGCTCAAATTAATTACCTACTGTTATTAGTCTTTTACATTCCTTTTACTCTCGAATTTTCTACAAAAAATGACCGAATTTTTTTTTTTAAAGAGAAAAGTCGAATAGTAAAAACCGTACTAATGTCGTATTTGTATACGTAAGTACGTACTGTACGTACGTAACAACGTAACAGTAATGGTAACTGTAACAGCCAAAAACCAATCCAATTAGACCTTTTTCAAAAAATCATGAGTGAATTATGATCATTTATTTTTCTAACTGTATATTACATAAACAAACATCGACAAATCAATTTATTATTTACTATTTTCAGTTTAGTTTCTCCCGATGCTGTGTCATGTGTCATCCTATTTTTAAATGCATCGACCGACACTTGGATTCAATTAAGAAGCACCATATACATATATCGATATATAATAAAATAAAATAAACAATGATTGGCTAGCGTAAAGATTAAACCTTTCCTTTTTTTTTTTTTTGCTATGCATATATGTATAAAAAGGACAATTTTTTTTTTTGATCAAACAACCTATTTTTATAAAATTTATGATTTCACTTGACGATCTGTTTCATTAATTAAAATTTGATCAAAATAATAATATGTTTAAATACTCGTAAAAAAAAAAAAAAAAAAAAAATTCGTTTTTAATCTTCTATTAATACGAAAAAAAAAAAATGTCACGAAAAGCGGTAGAATTACAAGGAATCTTACCACTTGCAAATTATACACAAGATAGTAGTGCATCTACTACATCTAGTGTCCAACCAGATTATTTTTCAGTAAAAGACAATGTTAATAATGCCAAGAAAAAACCTAATTTTGTAAGACGTTTAAAAAAATTTATGGCTAGTCATTGTAATCGTTCACGAATAGTCCTCCTCATAATTTTTCTCATAACACTTGCTGCTATAATAACAGTAGTTGTAATTTTAAATAAAAATCCTTTTGTTTTAATAAGGCCTCTTTGTAAATCACAATTCGGTATTCCATCCCTTAATCAAACATTTATTTACTTGGCTGAAATAGAAAATAATCAACTTGGTGATGATAGCTCAATTCCGTATAATGGAGTAGATTCTATGGGATTCATAGGGAAATATAAATTTGGGGAGCTAATGTTAAGTAATTTAGGTTATTATAAAACAAACATTACTATTCCGCCGAATAATTCAACGATTATTAAAAATTTTTGGAATGGAACTTGGACTGGTAAAAATGGATGTAATAGTTATGAAGATTTTTTAAATAATAAGTTAAATATTCAAGAAAAAGCAATAAGAGAAGCTTTTCAATTTAATTTAGTTAAAATTAATCAATATTTTTCTTCACCTTCTTTTAATTTATCTTTATCAACATTTTTGGATAAATCTTTTAAATTTTCTTCAGGTTGTAATTTTCAATCAGATGGTTTGAGCGTTTCTAATGTTACTTTAGCTGGTATTTTAGCCTCATCTTATTTGATTGAACCCGAAAACGTTGGTCAAGCTTTAGTCAGTGGTATGGCTCCTTGTGATAACAAAACTACCAGTACTCCTACTAGTTTAACGAGGTATTTGTTGGATTTTGCAGGTTGTGATTTCACTCCAGATAATGTTAATGAAGCTGTGTCTTCTTTTAATAGTTCTAATAGTTCTAATACTTCTAATAGTTAGTTATGTTTATCTCCTTATGTATCATAAATATAATATAATGTATGGACATTCAAAAAATTTAGAATAGATTTAAAATTGTGATGAATTCAATCGATAATTTATAATATATTCTTAAGTTTTGATTTTGTACACATATTTCCGACATTTGTATATTTTGTTGATATTATAGTTATTTTACTCTTACGTTCCGTACGTACGTAAGTATGTCAATATTCTGATTTCGTATTGCTTATTGGGCAGTTGTATGTCACGTCAAAATCTGATCTAATCTCGAATATTACAGTATTAAAAAAAAAAAAAACGATAAATCCGATAAATCGGCGATTTTTCCTATTTGGTGTCAGATTTTCGATGTAATATCATCAACATCTCATACATCATAATTATTTAATTCTATACGAAATACACGTAAGCAAAAAAATTTTATTATTTCATTGTTATTACTGACGAGTCTCGGGATCGGATTCTCATAAAGAATATTAAACCTAGTTGTACTATAGTACTATAGTAAACTCCAATATATAAATTTACATTAAAACATTTATTGAAATAATTGTAAGTTTAAGTTTAATAGGAAATAAAGTAAAATGTCTTAGATATTATGAAAAAACAAATATCGAAATAACAATATACCAAACATAAGCCTTAATTTAATAGAGATTTAAATAATACAGATAATATTCAACTTTTAAACTTGCACCTGCGGTAATATTATTACAAGGGCATTGCCAATTCGACATTTCTTATGATAAAGAACAAACTTTCATGTATTACCTCCAATAAGTACAAAAGAGGCTTTATAATCAAAAAATTCTATGCTCATTGATTCAATGTCACTATGAATTTTTTAATTTCAGGAGATGGACGTCTTTAGTTTTGATTGAATGGTTTATCGTATGCCTTCTTTTTAAATTCTGTGAGGGCGCATCAAATTAAAAATTTGGTAAAAATATGCATGCAAGAAAAAAATCAATTTGTACAGAAATTAAATTCCATCTCGCACGATCATTAATTATAAACTTTACTTTTTTTGTATTGTTATTAATTATACTGTATGGGAAATAATTCTTTTAATTCACGTGGTGAATTTAATGATTATGAATGAATAATTCGAGTACGTAACACACGCGTACGTAACAGATACGTACCAGGTACGTACGTACGTACGTACGCACAGCACATACGATAGTACTTACGACATCGAGAACAAGATCGGAATCACATTTAAAAAATTTTTGATAAAAAAATTTAATCTTATGATTTGTGAGAAGCTGGAATCTCATTTATATAAATTAAATATTTCATTTCTTGATCCAGTGATGCTTGATCGAAAAAATTTAATTTGAAATCCTGATTTTTGAGTTCATCTAATATTTTTTCTTTTATTACCGGTAGAACAAACAAAAGTATGATGTTATTATAATAAAAACACAATACAACTTTTTTTAGAAATGAAAAATCTTTGATTATCGATACTTGTATTATTATTTATCTAACGAATACATGGTTATAGGTCACAGCTGCAAATAAACTTGCGAGTCATAATGAATACCATAAGCAGCAGGAACAGAGACGAAGGTAAAAAAAGGATATACTGTATACAATCTTACTATGGTCTATGTATTTCATAACTTGTATTTAATATAATACTTTTGATTTTTAGAAACTCGAGTTGCTCATTTAGTTAAGAGTCTCTCGTTAGATGAAGATGATTGGGAAAAGTTTGATAATCAATCAATGGATATGGAATATACTATAAATGACTCTAAGGATGATAATATAGATAATTGGGAACCCGATCGTTATGAGGTCGATCAGATTATTGCTCACAAAGTTGCAAATGTAAGTATTTCTTAATGGTTTTTTTTTTCGCTTTTCAATTACCATATTATTTATTTATAGGGCCGAGATCTTTATTTGGTTACGTGGAAAGGATACTCAAAAGACACGTAATTCATTTTTTCTTATGTGGCTTTTTATTGTTATTTCTATTTATATATTTTTTTAAATCTTACCGGTATCTTTTTAGTTGGGAACCTGCTGAAAATCTCGATGATTGTCGTGAAAAATTGGATGAATTTCATAGGCTCTCCGATGAGATGAAAATAGCTGATCAATATTGTTCACAATATGAATTTGATCCCGAAGAACGTGATCTGTTTTTAAATGCTCTTCATGATTCTGATCGTGTTAATTTTGATCTTTATGATAAGATCATTCTCGGAAGAATAAAAGATTTCGATTATAATGATTATGCTTCTGATCCTAGAATTGAAAGGTATATATTTTTTTTTTTATTTGTTAAATTATGCGTAAAATGACTACTTAATCTTCTAAACTATTATTATCTTTCTCAAAGTGTTCCTATTGCCGAAATTGGTCAAAGAGGTCGAAGAGAAGAAGAATTAAAATGTCGCGAGGAATGTGATTTGTTCTAATAAGTGCTTGTTAAAACAGTGATGGTAAATTGATAAAGTCCTAAAAATTTTTATGAAAATGAACATAAATGGCATGCCATTTATTTATAAAAAAAACAATGCAAAATCATTGCAAAATGACAAGTCATAAGATATTTTTATAAATGACATTAAAATAACAAATAAATGACAATAATATTGTTGTGCTGGAATGGAATCTTGTTAGATTCTGAATCAACTCAAGTTAATACACTTAAGTTGGAATAAAATCTTAGTTTCATTCAAATTGTTAAAGAATTTGAATTAACTAATGCCAATTCTAAATTCACATTAAATATTAAAATTAAAAACGATTTAATTCAATTTAAACAGCAATACATTGCAGAGTTACTTATGCATATATTCTAATTATATATTCTACTACTTTATTTATTACAAGCGTGATTGTTGGAATGACAGCTATTACGCTAGGCAAATTTGCCGTTTACATTTTCAGTGTTATTTTTGACATGTAATACTTTTTTGCATGCTTATACTATAGTTTTTTTTTTGTTTTTTTTTAAGAGAGGTCTTTCTTCGATTCACTTTATTATAAATATAATTGAATTACATAGTAAGAATACATATTTATATATAGGGGAATGTGAGGTTAGAGCTATTTATTTCTAAAATTTCTTCTCGACCCATTCTTAGCTAGAAAGGTCAAGACCTCTAGGCTATGTTGTTGGGGTATATTCGATTATCGGTGATAAATTCTTGTAGCCATTTTAGGAAGTATGTATGGGTCGGGTGGGGTCATGGTTGGGTTGGTTGTAGCTTGTTGGTGCTTGGTTATTTGGATGGGATGTTTGTTGATTTTGTTGGCTAGGTTTTCATATCATTTCTTGTACTTGTTTTATTATTCTGTGATGTAGCTCAGGTGCGAAACTTTGGTTGTTTGCTGGATTTTGGAAGGGTCCTGTTGTGCAGTCTTGTATAATACCTAGAGGGAGTCATTTGCTGATATGTGTTTCAATAAATTTGCTTATAAACAGATTAGTATTTGGTGTTGCCAGTTGATTTTTCTGGCTGATATCATTTATAGCTTGGGCTATGATTGTTTGGAGTGATGTGTTATTGGCTGGACATATAAGTAAATGAGGAATATCTTTTACCAGGTTTGGGCACTTAGCGCAGTGAGGGTTCAGGTGTTTTTGTGTGTTTCTGTAGTGAAGTATGGAGTGGGTAGATAGCTCAAATGTTATTAATTTAACTTTGAATGCCTTTAGGTTTGCTTTTTTAGGTTTTGTGAATCTTTGTAATGGTTTGTTTTCATAATTTACTTGTTTGAAAGTGAGTTTCTAGTTAATGTCCTTGAACTGTTGCTGAATTTGGTATATCCTGTCTTGGTGAAGCCAGTTTATTCTTGCTTGACTTTTGATTATGGCTTTGGTAAGTTAGTGTAGCAAGTAAGTGCTTGGTGTGTTTAAAACATTAGGTATAAAAGAAAATTGTATAATTGGGCTTGGGTCCAGATTAATTTGTAGTTTCAGTAGTAATAGATATGCTTTAGGGGTTTTTTGCTAAAGAAGGTGGATGTGATTGATAATTCTTTTGCTGTTGTTACTATATATATAATGCATTGCAGCCAGTTGAAATTAGTTTTTTTAAATTAGTGAGGGTTGTATATTTGAGTCTCTAGATATTTGATTAACCAGATTAGGTTAGTGTTTATAGTTATATGTACTTTAAGAGGGGGCAGTGACTAGAATAAGAATTATGTTCAAAAGTACAGTGTGAGTTGGTGAGTGCCAGTGGGTATTTGTGATGATCTATGTCATTTTTGTTTGGTCGAAGGTTGCTTGTGCTATTGGGTTGTTTTGTGTGTTATTTGGTTTTGTTAATAGTGATACGTGAACTTTGATTTGTTGTGAGAAATTAGTTTATATAAATATTTTCCAGATCCTTTGTTGGTTGTTGGTAAATATCTGAGATAGTCTGTATGTAATATGATATGTCTGGGTTGGGAGACTAACTAACAGTTTGGTTTTTGCTATGTGGCTATATTGGATTTTTGTGAATAGACTTGATATATATATATATGAATTTGTTTTTTTTTGTTGACTTGAATGAGGTATAAAGGTTTTGTTAGTTGTTGAAATGTACAATTTGCTTTTTTTAGTGCTTTGTTGTTTTGAATTCAATCAGTACAATGATGTAGGGTTAGGGTTGCATGATTTAGTTTGTAATATTGTATTGTTGTATTATTGTTGTAGATACTTGTGACTTTCCCAAAGAACTTGGGTGTGGCGATGATCCAGGTAGGTTTGTTTGTTGAGATGCTTCTAAAAATAAATGGATTAGAATAGACTAGGTTTGTAGAAAGGTTAGCATTGTTTTTAATCAAGCTTTGGACTATTCAAAACTATTTAGAAGTTCAGCCTTGTGGTATTTTGTTGATATTGTGGTGAAATTGTTTCTATTCTAGTATAAGATTGTTGTATATATTAAGAAATTGTTTGATAAATCCTATTTTGTATTTGTTAAGGTTGGTTTTGATGGACTGGGCCTGTTTAAGTTGGTTGATTATTGTGTTAATTAATGTACTAGGGGTGTTGAGAGGAATTAGCTAGTTGTTGGTATATCAAGTAAATGTTATATTTAGGCTATATAGGGTCAGAATAGATTGGGTGATATGTGTTCAGTTTTTGTTAGATGAAAAGACTGGATTTTTAATTAGAATTGATAAGTTAATATGTGCTACATTTTGAAGTTGCTGGAGTTTGACTTTGAGAAATGATTGTTCAAAGTTTGGTGAGTTTATAGTGTGGTCTAAGGTTTGAATGTATTGTTGTTATTGTATTTGTATTAGTGTTTTTAGAGCATATATGTCAGGGTGGTGTATAGTTGAGTTTAGAACCAATCTTGCTAGTTGTGCTTTGTGTTTTACTAATGCTGTGTATTTGTTTGTTAACTTAAGACATTGTGTTGGGTGCAAATATATGCATTGTAGTTGATATACTGTGTGGTAAGTATAATATTATTAATGATATAAACTGCTTGTTTTGGTATTATTTTAGCATAGCATAGTCTGTTTATACTGATTTTTATCTTTTTTAAAATGTGCTTCTGTACTGGTTTTTGTGAGAGATTACGTGAAAACCATGTTCCCAGGTGTCAAAAGATTTCTTTTGATTGTGTGTTGCATATAGTGTTGCCAAGAAAATCAATTAAGAGGTTGGGTTGTTGTCATTTGTTATTAATATGAACTTGTTTGGGCTAACTGTTATGTTGGTATATTTTAGGAAGGAGCTTGTAATATTCAGGATTTGCTGTAGTTGTATTTTGCTTTGAGCTATTTATACTGTATCATCCATAAATGCTGTTATAGAGGTATGGTATTCGATTTCTTCTTTGGGTGAGTTTGTTTGTATTGTATAACCTGAGATTTGTTTGCTAACCCTAGATATGAGAGGGTCATAATAGATGCACTACAAGATGGAGAGATTATCTCTTCCTGGTTGATTCTGTCTTGTATATTATAAGGTGCTGTAAGTCCATAGTTTGTGATTACTTGGTTTTGTCATTGGGTAAATATCAATATAAGCAGGATGTTAATTAATTGTAGTATGCATATTCTCTTCAGTGCCAGACTGAGAAGTGGAATATAAACAGTGTCGTATGCTTTAGACATGTCTTGGGCTAAGATTCAATAGGGTTTGTTATTGATATTGCTATCCTTTAGTATATATAAAATTGTTAGTATGGGTCAAGGATTGAGGTATATAGTAGTGCAACATTATTGTTAGGTGAGAGAATGTTGTATTTAAAAAGGATCATACTAAAACATTATGTAATTATTTTTCTAAAGATCTTCCTGGTGTGTTCAATTAAGGTGATGGGTCTGGTATAGTTGAAATTGTGGTTGTATATTTGCTTTTTTGAGATAGGCAATATATTGGCCTTTAATCATAGGGTTAAGAAAACTTCAAGTTTAAGACATGTATTGAATATATAAAGTAGAGCTATTTTGCTATTAGTATTTAGATTTTGTAGTATTTCATTTGCTATGCCAGTAGGTTCAGGAGCTTTTGCATATAGTACATTGTTTAGGGTATGGTTTAGCTCCTGCAAATCGATTAGTTTCGTCAGAGGGTTGTAGATTTGCGAAGAGAAATTTGTTTGAGGTTGGTAGAACTTTGCCTATTCTGCTGCATACTAGTTGTTAGATGGGTTGTATTTTGTCCAATTTTGGAAATGGGTCTAGGTAGCTTGTTTGATGTTCTGTGGTTTGGTTAGAATTTGGTTATTAGTAATCACTTTATCAAAGTTTATTTTTTCTGTATGTCAGTATAAAACACTGTTGATCATGCATATAGTATTGCTTTAAAAATCTTTGTAGCATTTATTAATAAAGTATTGGATTTTATCTTTCTAGGCTTGTGCTGTTTTAATTTTTCTTGTATGCCAAATTGTTTTGGCTAACTCATTGAATTGTTAGAGTATAGTTGTAGTAGTAATTGGATTAGGTGTTAGGGCTAAGATTGGTTATAAGAGTAGTAAGGAAGCTTTCTCTACTTTAGTGTTGATAGTTTGTAGTAAGTATTGTATAGAGGTTGGGGGTATGTATTTTTGCAAAGGTATATTGTACTATTGATATGCTTTAAAGCAGTATGAAGTTTGTTGCTTGTAAGATGTGGGTATGAAAAGTTCTGGGAGTGGTGTTTACAACTGGTATGCATGTATTTGCTACTTTTAGAACCATGTTTGCAAAGTATTCTATCTTTTGTTGAAGGTGGTTTGGTCATTTATGGGTGTTTGGAAGTAATTATATGATATTGTTTTGTTTACATATTCAGTAAATTCCTGCCAATTTCTTTTGCCATGTGTTGGTATAAAAAAATTTTTCTTTGTTTTTTTTTTGTATATCTTTTTAAAATTGAAAGGTTTGTGTGCTATGTCATAGTAATTATTGCATGATCACTATCTGATATGCCTTTTATATCAAGTAGTTGTGGAGTGTTGAATTGTAAAATTATCTC